ATTATTTGTCGTTGCTTAAAGCTTAAGTTCTATTTCTAAACACAAAATGGGACGTCGACGATGTACCGCCATCCAGAATTTATCCCATAATGCACCGGCTATACCTAAATAGATAAGCGTCACGAAATTGGAAATCTAATGTGGAAAATGCAAATCTAAGCCTCAGCCCCGCGTGTCCGTAACGACGTCGGTCGGTGCTCGACGTCGAGACGCCACTGAGTTTCCCGAAAAAGTCCAACAAAGATATTACGACAACGACGTACTCAGCACAGAAGGGCTACCAAGAAAGGCGATTCAACGTATCAAAGAACATCACTATAATCTTTAAATTTTAAAAACCATTACCGAACTGTATTAAATAAAAGTTTCTGACTGATGATACACGGTAATCGATATCTATCTTTGAATTGATATAATATTAATCACTGAGCTTCGGCCGCATGCGAACTCGGTTTAATTACTCAAAAGATCTATAAAGCCATCCTGATAAAGCCAAGACGCAGTTCAGGCGAATTCGTGGCCACAGAATAACTTATGGTCTTGTTCCACTTACGAAGTGAGTTTCTGCATAATCTTTTTGGAATTCTGTTAGCGAATTTCCAAATGTGGCTCACTTCGGAGGTGACGGCCTGATTTTGTGTCGATCTAAAGCTCCGCTGTATGTTAAAATTCTCATTGTGTATAATCTTAGTTGTCCTAATTGCAGGGTGTCTAGTTTTGAGCCTATGGATGTGGATTGGAAGTGGTTCATTGTCCAATATTTTTTTGGTATTCTCAGGCCAAAGCATTCTGTCTTCCCAGCTTGGGCGGTGGAATGTGGCTTAGCGCAGGAATACAGTGATTGTTCGGATGGTGGAGTTTAGTTGGGCAAGCTGTCGGCCGAGCACCACAGGGTTGCAGCTATTGACCCCCACGTTGTTCTACATAATTTCTGAACAAATGCTATGTAGTCTTATTTCTTAATCTTATTTTTTATTTGGCAGTTTTTTATCATTCAGGAAATACTTCAACAAGAATCTTAAGACCATAACGAGGTGTAAGGCATTATAAACTGACCGGCAAAGAAAACCGGCCACTTAAATTTTGCCACAATTTCAAAGGTGGGTTTCTCGCGAACCACTTATTCGATTTTGATGATTCCTTTTTTGATCGAAAGGTTGATTCTTCTGTAATAATCCTGCGATAGAAATTTTTATTCGGATATTAATTTGAGCATATAAGGGGTGTAAGAATGAGAAAAGCATTTTTTCTCGAAATTTTTAATACCCTGTGGGGTGCAGATGCTACAGCAGAGGGTGTTAACTGGAATCAAACGGTAGCCCAATCTTTTCTGAACATTTTGTTTTTTTATTCTATCTATTATCTCTGTTACTAACGAAGATGCAGTGTTTTAAAGCGAACGCCTGTGAAAACAAGACAAACAAGCATACAAAATAAGGTGGCGCGCTAGGTAGCGTATGTCAGTTGTTTCGAATAGTAAATTGACAGTTGTCAAAGATGCTGTTGTCAATAACTGATGTTGCGGGTATTATTAGTTTAATTGAAGATGGCAAAAGTCAGCGGTACGTTGCCCATACGTTGGGTATACCCCGAACAACAGTTCAGGATGCCTGGAACCGATATGTGGAAACAGGAAATTTTACTAGGCGGCAAGGTTCCGGTAGAAGACGAGTGACAACAGCAGTTGATGATCGATTTATTGTGCTAAACACTCTGAGGAATCGTAGAACGACTGCTGTAGAAACTCGGCATCGTCTTCAAATGGTGCGTGGGGTTGACGTAAGTGAAAGAACCATTCGTCGAAGACTTGCTGAAAGTGATCTAACTGCAAGAAGACCTGCCAAAAGACAGCGGCTGCTCCAGAGACATCGGCGAGCACGTCTTCAATTTGGGCGCCTACATACGAATTGGGAAATGGAACAATGGGGTAAGGTGCTCTTCACTGACGAGTCCCGATTTTGTCTCCGGTCACCTGATGGTCGAGAACGAGTGTGGAGACGTCGTAATGAAAGGTTTGCGACCTGCACAATTTCGGAAAGAGTACCTTTCCATGGAGGTTCGGTCATGGTATGGGCGGGTATTTCGACGGAAGCGCATACAGCGCTCATCTTTGTTGAAAATGGCACGCTAAATGCCCACCGTTATATCCAAGATATTCTGCAAGAAGCTGTCGTGCCCTATTCCCATTTTATTGGTGACGGATTCATGCTAATGCATGACAATGCGCGACCGCACGTAGCACGTGTGGTTAGCGAATATCTTGATGAGGTGGGTATTGAACGGATGGAGTGGCCAGCGTGCAGCCCGGACCTTAACCCTATCGAACATCTTTGGGACCAACTTCAGAGACGCATTCGTCGTCGTCCTGTCCTACCGGACAACCTTCAGGAGTTACGAATTGCTCTTGAAGAAGAGTTTACCGCAATTCCTCAGGAATCAATTACGAACCTAATCAGTTCGATGCCGCGTCGACTACATGACGTTATTTTAGCTCGTGGGGGGCACACACGCTATTAATTTTCGTGTTATTATTAATTATTACATTAAATTAAATTTGTTTTCTTGTTTATTTGTCTTTGTTTTTACCGCATATTAGAACTGAGAACAGATGTTTACAATAATGAAGGACGTACGCAATTCTGTAATTCTAAGAAAATGTAAGTGCTTCTGCAAAACTGTTTCGGGTGCCCAGTTTTAGTTTTCAAGGTCAGTGATTTAAGGCGCCACTTTTAACAATGATTAAAAATCTGTATAGGCTTCTTTGGAAATTCCCGGCCACACCATCACAGAACCACCATCGAAACTTTCGCGTTTCATAATTGTATAGTCCACAAATCTTTCATTTCAACGTCTTCATATTCGCTCCTGACTATCGGGTGATAGTAGACAAAACCACTACTCATCCGTAAAAAGGACCTCCATTGCACTACTCATTCCTCTATTGCTCGATCTCCCAATTCATATGTAAGCGCGCAGATTGAAGACGCGCACGTCGATATCTAAGAAGCAGCCTCGGCCCTTTGGCAGCCTTCTTGCAGCCAGACCAGTTCTAGCAAGTTTTCAGCGAATGGTTCTCTCACTGACATCAACAACACGCACCATTTGAAGACGATGCTGAGCCTCTACAGCTGTCGTTCTACGATTGCTTAGAACAATAAAACGGTCATCAGCTACTATTGTCACTCATCTTGTTTTCACAGGCGATCGCTTTAAAATACTGCATCTTCGTTAGTAACAGAGATAATAGAGTGAATAAAAAAAGAAAATGCTCAGAAAAGATTGGGCTACTGTTTGATTCCAGGTAATACCCTCTGCTGTAGCAACTGCACCCCGCAGGGTGTTACAAATTTCGAGAATAAAAGTCTTACTCATTTTTCTCACCCCGTATATGCTAAAATTAAAATCTGAACGAAAATTTCTATCGCAGGATTATTACAGAAGAATCAACCTATCCATCAAAAAAAGAATCATCAAAATCGAATGCGCGGTTCGCGAGAAAGCCAGCTTTGAAGTTGTGGCAAATTTATAGTGGCCGGTTTTTTTTGCCGGTCAGTTTAGATAGAGTTTCAATATTGGAGTTATTTCTTCCCTTATTCTTTTTGGTACCTCAGTTCCGCAATCATTTCTTGATTTCTGACGTTTCGAATGACTTCACCATTTTTTTCTGCTCCATATTTTTATTTTTTTTTCTCCGTCTTGCCATAAATCAATGATTAGTGCATTCCGACATTAGTCTTCTGATATTAAATAATCGTTATGATTAGCATTAAAACAGATGAATAGCAAATTTTTTCACAAATTTATAAAACAGTCGAACCATATTCCTTAAACCCTCATATTATGCATATAGGATACATTGCATTTCCCATTTAACTGTAAGCTTAAAGCTTATTTCACTGGAATGAATACGAGCGGCGTGTACCAGAAACGAGCTTACTTTTCCATTTCGCGGAACGTGGTCGAGACGGAACGCGAACCGGGAATAACATACGAGCCCCATTGCGACCACACGCTCCGAAAATATTAAGGTCATACTGAAAAACGAGGGCACGAAAAGCTTTCGGTGGGCACCCCGAATTTCATTATTTCCTCAAACACGGAGATTATGACTGTATAAATATTTGCCGGGGGTCCTTAACCACCCATAGTATTGGAAAGTCTTTTGGGGTTTTTCACGTCAATATCTTCATTTTAAAAGTTTCGTACAATTTAAGTTAAGAATATTATTTAGAACAGAGTTATTACACGTCGATAATACCTCAATAACCATTACAAAGTACCTCGAAACAACTTTGGACGTTTGCCAAAACTTGAAATAACCAACAATGTAAAATAATTGGGTTCTACTCGATTTTTCATTGGAAAAATGGCATCCTTAATTTAAGAGGAGGCCTTCCAATTTGCTGAAAGCATTTTCGAGAAGAAACTTAATCTGTAAGGTTGAGGAATAGACGACGATGGTCTAACGGCACTTTTCCTTGCCATAGTAAAGAAAAAGGAGGAGAAGGAAAAACTTGCACGAGATGCAGAATCCTTTTTTGCGACCCCGTCACGTCCTGCACATTATCCAACGCTTTTATGGGCGTCGAGTACTACGGACTAAGAGAGGTTAATGGACTTTGAAATTTTTTCTTTTTGGGAAATATAAAATTTCTAGTGCTTCTTTTTTAAAAATAAATCAAATCAAATTTTATAGATCATGGTGCAAATTTTTAATTAATTGTTAATGGGAGTTTTAGAGGAGATTTTTTACAACAAAACGAAAATAGGGGACATAAAAAGGTCTCGCTTAAAGGTACGAAAGGACAACGGAAAAAAGGGGATGCCGCGATCACCTTTACGATCTCTAAAACGTCCCGGTCTGCCATCCTAACGGGAAATTATGGGATTGGAATTTTTCTATTTTGCCTGTCCTGAAAACCGAAAGATTCGATAAACGATAAACGTCTTCAAACATTTATTTTCGTTTTATCTAACGTCTCCTTTCGTTGTTGTTTCAGGTCACACCGAAATGGATGCGAAATAAATATGGATGAGAGAGATCTGTTTTAATTTTCTCTTTTTGGTTTTGGAATTTTTTTTTTGGATTTAAGAAGGGCAGGAGAAGAAATTTGCGAAAATGTTGCCGACAAATGTGATGTCTTTTATGAAAAAGGTAAGGTAAAAAGTCATTAAATTTATCGATGGAATGTAAACGAAATAGCTTTTGGTGGTTGTCAGATACGACTCATGTCGGGCAGTGTACACCTGTCTATACGAATATGGTATCGATCTGACAAGTTTTAACCGGTATTCCAAAGCGGGGCAACTCTCTAGATTCACGTGCTGATGCACTGTGGGTTTTTTTTTTCGTACGTCCGGAGCTTTGCAAGGGATTCAAAGGGAACCTATTTTTTTCTCTATATTTATCTTTTTCGATGAATATTTGAGCTTCATATTTGAATTGGAACAAAAAAAATTAATTATTATAAAATCTAGTGTAATTTGCAATCTCATTTTATATCAAAAGAATCAACATCAATTAAAATACATTCTAAATTTGTTATGTTTTACTAGCACTTCTTTAGAGACGGCAATTATTAAATTTAATGGCACTTGAATAAAAATGGTTACTTCCGTTTATTATATATGAACATTTCAGATTAATTATCCAAGAAAAAAATTTTTTATGATTATTTAAACTTCTTTCCAAAATGAATAAAACTATGAAAAATTGAGCAACTTTAAAAACATTTTCCTTAAAAACTAGCCATAATTTTGAGAAACGGTTTGTGCTAACAAAAAATACATAATTTTCTTTATTATATTTGCAATTTCTAGATAATTTTTCCAAGAAATAAATTTTTCATGTATTTTTAAACTTGACTCCAAAACTAGTAATATAAAAAAAAATCGACCATATTTACAAATTTATTCCTTTAAAACTAAACAAAATTATTGAAAATGGTTCATTCCTGATGACTTCGAGTCACAGTCTCTACGATACGAGCAGCGATAACGGCCAACGTTCGACTTCGCTTACTATAGAAATTTCGTGGTGAGCTCAACGTGCTTCCGCATAGCGACATCCCCAAGAGAACTTGGGCATCACCCAATGGAAGGACGTTTAACCAAATAGATCATGTTCCTGTACACAAAATGGTAGCCTCCAGCATCATGGATGTAACAACTTATAGAGGTGCCGACTGCAACTCTGACCATTATTTGGTTAAGACTTTATTCTGAATAGCTGAAAAACACTGCATACAAACACCCATCGGGTTTGATGAAGTATTTTAACCAAATTACCAAGAAATACCAATAGAGCAGCTATGGCTCTCCATCAAAAATTGCGTTCAGGCCGTTGCAGAGAATGTTTGATGATGAGTGTCGAGACACCATAAACAAATCGACTCAAAGCGACCAACGAGAGCCAGGTAGGAAACTCTGCACGCGCTGAGTAAGATGGTACAATGAGGATCTGTGTAAGATAAACGAAGATTTTAAATGCAACAACCCGAGAGCAGCTTACGTTCCCTAGTAAAAAGGTGGATTCCAACCGAGAATAAGCCTCTATAAGAAGACGACAACGTGGAAGCGATGAAAACGATATCTACCAACAGTAGAGGAATCGACGAAACACCTGATAAGTGAAGGGAAGAACCTGCTCATGGATAAAGATGAATGGAGGCTGTTTATAGATTCATCGAAAAGAATTCTAATTCTTCTTCGCCACGAAAGCTAATATGCATCTGTACCAGTTGGACACTCGGTGCATTTAAAAACATGCCATGACAACCTGGTTCTCGTCCTCAACAAAATAAAATATGCCGACCACGATTGGATCATTTGTAGTGATTTGAAAGTTATCTCGTGCTTGGTCAAGAAGGCGGATATACAGGGTGTCTCAGCGAGACCGGTCATTAGACGTTTCTGGGGTTCTGGCGAAAATAAAAATTTGAGAATTCAGACTTAAGTATTATCAATTACGATCTCTTCGTCTAAAATATTTTCAGATTTCTTGCACTTCCGGTTATACCGGAAGTCACCACCAACTTTATTTTTTTAAATGGAACACCCTGTATATTTTTACATATTTGGATTTGTCTGTTTTCAAGGTTTATAAATAACTTTACTTTTTGCAATTTGATTCGGTCGTTCTCGAGTTATTCGAATTTTTCTAGAAAAATCTGCTCCAGCAGACATTTGTTCAAAAAATCAGAAAACACTCAATTTTTGGGATATCAATTTAGGATTGAGAACATGCTTAAGCAACATGATGGAGTATGTTTTGGTGCCGAGAACTGCGGTCTAGAACGTTTGATCACTTTACTATGGCACGTTAACTTTTCAAAATTTGGAAGTACCATAACTTCATTTTTTTAAATGGCACCCCCCATATTTTATTTTTTAGTCGTCTTCGGTGTCTCATTCTACATCTTTTATATCCCATATGGCCCATACCTAATATTAATAGTTTGGGAGATAATTAGGGTTTTTTGAAAAATGCACACATATCATATGGATATTTAGCCTAGTGTGCCATGAAAAACAAGCCTTCTCAATGAGTTCTTGTCAAAGACTCACTTGTTTACGTCACTTGATGCATGTGAGCTAATAATTATCTGTTATGTCCCTTAATATTAGTACTGAAACGAGTTAAAATCGATAACAATAACGAAAGTAATATTTACACAAATCAAGAAATTCTTAATTTATTTTTTTTGCATGAAAAGCGCGACAAAGTTCGTAGTATGATTCCCAGATCTTCTTTGGCAGCTCGAATTGAGGTGTTGGGACTGGGCTCGAAATAAGCCAAGGTATTCACCTCTTCCGTTGCATTATCTACTACATTTTTTGGTCAGTTTAACACGTGATTAATTCGTCCAAAATGCAAAAAATTTGCTTCTATTCCTCTAAATTTACCTTTTGTCATCGGAGATAAATGTGGATAATTTTCATTAAACATTCTGCAAGTTCTACTAAGAACTTTGTCGCACTTTTCGTGCACAAAAAATAAATTATGGATTTCTTCATTTGTATAAACATTATTTACGTTATTAATATCCATTTTAACTGGTTTTAGACTCACAAGCATCAAACAACCTAAATTAGACTTTGACGTTTATCAATAAGTCATTAAACATTTGTTTTCCATGGCACACTAGGTTAATATCGATATGATATGTGAGCATTTTTCAAAAAACCCTAATTATTTCTCAAACTATTAATGTTAGGCATAGGACATATGGAATATAAAAGATGTAAAATGAGACGCCGAAGACGACTAAGTAATAAAATATGGGGGGTGCCATTTAAAAAAATGAAGTTATGGTGCTTCCAAATTTCGAAAAGTTAACGTATCATAGTAAAGTGACCAAACGATCTAGACAGCCGTTCTCGGCACCAAAACATACTCCATCATGTTGTTTAAGCATGTTCTGAATCCTAAATTGATATCTCAAAAATTGAGTGTTCTATGATTTTTTGAACAAATGTCCGCTGGAGCAAATTTTTCTAGAAAAATTCGAATAACTCGAGAATTGCTGGTTCAAATTGCAAAAAGTAAAGTTATTTATAAACCTTCAAAACAGACAAATCCAAATATGTAAAAATATACAGGGTGTTCCATTTAAAAAAATAGAGTAGGTGGCGACTTCCGGTATAACCGGAAGTGCTAGAAATCTGAAAATATTTTAGATGAAGAGAACGTAATTGATAATACTTAAGTCTGCATTCTCAAATTTTTTGTTTGGCTAGAACCCCAAAAACGTCTAATGACCGGTCTCGCTGAGACACCCTGTATAAAGTAAATAAGTGGCTCAAAAAATAATGGTCAAGAGGACAAAATCATGAACCAGACACTGTCTGATTCTGAACAGCTTAGTTAACTCAAACAAAGTAGTGTTATAACATTAAAAACGTTAATTAATAAAACCGTTAATCATAAAAACTACATAAAAAATTCCAGGTTTATCCACAGCCAAGTTGCAAGAGGAAATTTGTTGGTTCAGATATCTGCAGGCTTATGAAGCATAAAGAATTTGAGAGAAACAAAGAAGATTAGGTTGCCTTCAATGATGTCGTGATTAAATTTCTAACTAATTACAAGGATCCTGATTATAAACACATTGTACTGAATATGGTGAATTAAAATTTTGAAGCAATAAGTGTCAAAAACACTTTCTTTACTCACATGTAAACTTATTCCCCAAAAAATCTCTCCGTTGCTTTTCCATTACCATCCTTTTCCTTAATTTAGCCATGTCTTTTCATCTCTTGGATAGTCTTCCTGGTGTTTGAGTACCTGCCGATAATTCATCTTCTTCACATAACCGTGACCTTCCTAGCCTTATTTTTGACATTATAATAAATGGTTAAACTTGGAAAGGAGGTGTTTAGCAGCACTAAAAATTTGAAGCAGAAACGTTACTAGAGGAAATTAGACTACAGGTTTTGACCCACTAAGATTGTGTTGCCAAATTACTTGGTCCGACTAGTTTCGGAGACTACATCATAAAAATATTAAACTGAAAAGGAGGAAAAAGGAGTAAAAAATACTTTTCTTTATAATGTTATAAGCAATTAAAAGTCGATTTATTTCCGTCCAGTCTCGCCTTTTCGTTTTTCATTTTTCCCCAATTACCAGCAACAAATCATTGCGAGCTCTAAATCACGCCATTAGACACCAGGGTGAAACGCGGAGGGTTGATCACCGTATAGAAGGGCCCCAGCACGTGGTCGCCAGCTGCGCCGTTGCGATTTACGATCGCGTCGCGAGCCATCTACTACGTGAATTGCTCTCCCCTTTTTTCCCCAAAGCGTAAACCATAAAATCCTCTTAAACCCTCATATACCTTTATAATAAAACTAGGGATTTAACAAAAAAACTTTAAACGTTTTCTTTAAACTTTCGGCATTTTCCCTGTATTTTCTCCAATTCCACCTTTATTAAGTTTACCTTCCAAAAAAAAAAGAAGAAAATAAATCAAAAACTATTACTTTAAAATGACACTCGCAGGGATTCGAAGTGGTTGGAACCGGGCATGAGGTTTTAGAGGAAATATTCATGAAACGGATTAATGAATAATTCATGCGACACGTCCCCAATATTAAATAATTAGGTCGCGTAGAAAACGGATGATGAAATAGTTATTGGAAAAGTTTTTCCATTAT